AGATGTGTATTGTTTAATAATTATATAGCGGTCGTGCATTGTATATCTTATGGATCATCGATTCGATGATAAATTGTAACTAAGGGGAAGGATAATAGCAACGTCGAGTGAATAGGTACCTTGAACATGTTGACAGCAAAAAACGAAGATCTGCTGTCCATGATGGAATTAAGAGTGCAATGAGAGATAGAAGTTAGTAGGACATAATGATGATAATGTTGATGATAATAATCATGATGGGTGAAGATGCTGATATGTGTATATGTGTAAGTTGCGTTTTGTACATAACGCAAATGTCTTTAAAATTGCCATTAATTTCCTTATTGTATTATTTTATTTTCGTCAGCATTTACAGTACCAAAATCTCACGACTTGCCTTTGTGTCTTGGATGGCAAACATTAACATTTGAATCATGTTCAATTCTGTAAACCCGATATATTTCAAAATGCTATTTTGTGTAGAACATAATCATATTGTTATTGAATGAACATCAGCTGTGATTGGCTATCAAGCAGCGCGTAACTTCATTTAAACATGTACGCGCCCACGGGCCTACTGTCAATTGTAACGACCGGTCGTGGGCGGTAAGGAAGCTGTATCGTATGCTTAACATTAATAACATTGGATTTCATTCTGGTTCAAATAATCAACTGATTCAATAAGCAGTTTTGTAGTTACCAGTGCGCATGACTATGTCAAAGGTAACACTTCTAAACACACATTCAGACGGCGTATGGTTTAAGTAGGCATCAGACACAGCCGCGAGCGAATTGACGTTAACGAAGGACATGAATGTTCCACCAAGGGCTACGAGCTACGTGAGGCTTGACATTACGCCTCTAGCACCGAAGGTAGAACATACTATATAGAATGTGCTGCAGTATTTCATGTCCGGTTGCGTTTGCCAAAAGCTTAGTTCTCACACTAATAGACACGTTAATATGCAAAAGTCATCAATGCTAATGTACAAACGTCTTCGCAAAACCGTCAAATTAAAACTGTATATATATATATATATATACATATATATATATATATATACATATATACATACATACATACGGTACATATATCTATATATATATATATATATACACATATATACATATATATAGGCCTATATGCATTTTAAACAGTGAAATATATAGATATAGGCCTATATATTATATACTGCATATTAATTATTGCAACATACAAGTGTTAATTAGGACAGAAGGGTCTATATTAATATAATGTATGATGAGGTTTGTGATCTACAACATTCGATGAACATCGATAGTCACAAGAACAAGAATCACTAATAAGCGCATTCATAATAGAAGTATCATCTGATAGTGACGCTGTATACTAATGCTTTAATCACTATCAACATAATCGACATGGGTACCTGAATGAGCATTTGCATTAAGCTCCCTTAAACGATCAAATTACTGCTTATTAAAATTAAACTCAATTACAAAGTCAGCTAATAAATCAATTGCTTAATTGAATTTATCACCTACATTGTTCCGTATTTTACATCGTACACTATAATAAACGTAAAATGTAAAAAATGTAGGTAGAAAAAAAGGGTGCTGAACGCAGATTCCGGTCCTTCATACCCAATAAAATATAGGTTCATGCCCCGATAAAAGTAATGAATAAGTGAACATATTTTCCGAAGCGATGGCCACAAATTAAAAATTCTTCAGAAAATCAATATCTATACATTGAAAATGTATTTTTTTTCCGGATGCATATTTTAGAGTTATTATTTCTGGTAAAGGGGTATCGTTAAGATATCCAGTAGATATGATTATTCGTACAATTCCCAATAGTGCTATATAATACAAGGCTATCATTAATCCATACAAATGTCATATGCTACTGACTCATTTTATCATTGAAATTGCATTGTCAATAGGTCTCTTTTGCAATTGAGTAAGTAAGACGTGAAAAGCAAACTATTTACCTATGGTATCATTATTTTAGATCCTAAAACCAAAGTAGTGTAATCTTTAGAAAGAAAAAAAAAACGTTATGAAAATATCGGTCAACATGTGACTTTTTTTATATAGAGAATACCTGTGAAATAAGTCGTGACCAAAAGTACAATGTGACCCACAAATTTGGAATCATACGCTTGGCTGTACCGTTATCGGTCCGTTGTCGTCAACTCCCGGATCTTTACACACGCTTTTTCTGTTATCGATTTGATTCGACGTACAGCGAAGAATTCAAAAGCGTGCGTATCGACCCTCCAACACGCTGTAGTTTTACTATTCACATTTTGCAAAGATGGTGAAGAACTAAGTATTGTTTCAACAACGAAATTGTCTTTTATCTCTGGGGTACATATCGTAAAGGTATGTGAAATAATTAATTGTTATTTGAGGGTGATACGTCAATTGTACTCTTCTTTTACGACGACAGGTAATAATCTCGGAGTGAAAGTAAATACTGAACAGCAAAATTAGTTTTCTTTAAACTTAGGCTCCTTATCGGGGTTGAATCGTTTATTATTGACCGTGGTGGCACTCACGACATCTGTTGTATTGACCCTTCAGACGCCAGGACTCACGGTGTATCTTAATAAATATTTAGCAAAGTGGCCTAGTAATTTGAGAGTTCTCGGTTTTTGTAGGCCTATAAGACGTTAGGTGACTAAATAAATAGATTACTCGAGTTATGTTGTACACTGTAACAAAAGACATTAACACACCAGGTAAATTGTTTTATTTTGGAGATGTTTGTATTTTTGAACACCAGTATAGACATGTGTCGTGAATGCCTAGGCCTCTGTTAATTAGCATTTGACATAAAGAGCTTTAAAAAAAGGACAAGTTTATTTTACTGTTGTTAGGTTCCATCCGTCTATCAATGTCAATAGGTGTTCTGCGATTGTGATCCCCAATCATTATAGTACACTACATATATTGTTGCTGCAACTATACTTTACTGCTGCTGCGGTTTCTGCTATTGTAACTTACATGATTTCCAAGCTGCGACCTAAAAGCTTTTCTTTCACTATGTGTGAGTAAGCCAGTTGTATGAAAGAAAGTGACTGTGGTTAGATTTGCACCAATACCGTATATGTCTGTATGGTCTAAAGGTATGATAGTCGCATTGAAAGCGAGTGGCTGCGCGTTCGAATGAATGAATTAAAGTATCGCAGTGAAATAATGAAAAAATTGTACCAGGGCGCTGATGGAACAAATAATATGACTCTTTGTACATTCTTGGAAATATTCGGCACTTTCATAGAGGTATAATATTGAGGGTTTTGGGTTCAAATCACGTACAAACTAATATTTTCTCTTAAACTAAAACAACTCCACTTTTCTAGTCATGATTATGTGACTGAGTTTCATAACGACGGGGCCCTGTGAGAACATGTTACCCAGTATAAATAGGATACAAGTATAGCCCTAGGCTTTTTAAAATTAACATAGAAATACATAGTGCAAAGTAACCTACAAATAGTAATGAAATATTACGAAGAATTTTGAAGTATCATGATTTACAAGTTCTTTATTTTGCTTTATTGTGCGCGGTGCGTCGGTGTTTATTTTACAGGCTAGTGTTGTAAGCGTGTTACCACAGTGTTAAAACTTGCACACGGCTTATTAGTATACAAGTTCTTTACTTTGCTTTATTGTTCGCGGTGCGTGGGTGTTCATTTTACAGGCTAGTGTTGTCAGCGTGTTAGTGTAGTGTTAAAAGTTACACACGTCTTATTAGTATTCTGTCCTTGTTGTCATTCGACGTTTTGCTATGTCCTCGATATTATATTTGTCGATAACGTGCGTTCGCACTCGATTGCATTTCTTCTAAAGCTTTCTCGATATGATTACACAAACCTTATGCCATTACATACAGTCGGTACACACTGTTTATAACTATGCCCCTAAGGGAGTCCAATTCTCACTGTATCTACGCCTCTATCAATAGTGTGCTTACTCAGTCGGGCATTATGCGCTCTGCTAAGGCAGGAAACCCATAGCAGATGTAATTAGGCCGGTAAATAGGAAATTCAAACCGCCAATAAAACAACACTAGTACAACGGCAGAGTATTGTAACAAAGTTGAACTTCAACGATAACCTAGCTCTCGGTCAATTTCAATTAATGCCTTGTCACACTGCTAGTGAAAATTGGTTTTATTAAATTTGAAAGCAATATTGGACTGGCCACGTGCGACTAGAATGAATAGGTTTGTCATCATTACAATAATATTATGTTATCGCGATTGTATTGGGGCGGTAGCGCAATGCACATAAATTGTTGTACATGAGCAACAAACAGGTTTCATTAAGGTTGTTTTCCACTAGGCGAAAGCATTGGTTCATCCGCATTCACATTTCTATAGGAGTTTTTCGCTTCAGCGACATTATTCAGTAGTTCGAACTTGTTCCTTTTTGCGGAACGAAAAATGCGCAACCAATCAGAGCTCATGAAGCGAACCGACGCTTTCGATTCTCGCGAATAAATTCTCCTAGTGAAAAACAGGCTTAAAACAAAATAATGCAATTTGTGGCAAACGGAAAAAAAAAGAAACAAAAAACAAAAAAAGAACGCGTTACACTCCCTATTAAAACGTAGAACGTGAACAGAGTTGGATTCGCCAAAGTATTTTATGCCTGCGTTTACGTACAGTGTGTTAACGCCTTCTGGAGCCTTAACTTTCTCTGCTACGTTTTCCCATGTTTGTTTTAATAACTGTGCGATTTAGAAATCTTTTCAGACCAGCGGATGTTTAAGTCTGCCTCAGAACTTTTTTTGGTCCCGTCATTACGTAATTTATAGTTTTTGCATCCTTTCACTTTAATGCATTGTATAAATCAAACCGTTCAAAATTGCATTCTCTTTAGGCTTTCTGAACTTTTTGAAAATCGTTTTGACACTTCTAGCTACGGAATGCAACATCGTTTAATGTAGTAGGGTACCAACCTGTCGAATGAAAGAAATACTGCTTGTGTGGTAATTGTTTCTTCAGTTCTTTCTGCAGCGCGATATTGTTCTTCTGGGCCATTTTGAGATGCACATCACCTGGTTAATGGGAATCTGTATGACATAATTTCTCTACTAAAGATTCCAAATAACTAAAGAGTTTCAATAATGGTTTGCTTGAAGCCTATAGTCTGCTCTATCAGACGATTATGTAGTCAGTCGCCCAAAGACTTAATTATTACTGTAATTAAAATCAATTAAAACAACAGTTGTATAAATAACAATGGAGAGACGTACGTGTTCGATTTCTTATAAATGTTATGAAAGATGTTGTTGATCCATTGCGATAGCTGGGTTTTATGGTGAAGCTACTTAAGTGAGCTGGACAGACTGGTATCACTTTCATATATTAATTTAAATTATTTTTCGATTGTCATGTCACCCTGTAATAACTAATGCGTACATTGTTATTAATTTAGTTTTCTATCAAAACTGAATGCACTCTGTGGGACAGTGACTGCATCCGTACAATCGTTCTAACGATCATGAGTTGAATTCAGTTACTACGTCAACCGCTTTAAGTTAACTTCTTATTTAAGTACAGTATTAAATAATACTTGAAATACAAACTGTCTGTCCAATAAAAACTTTATGGACTAAACATTTTGTCGACGATGATAAATTATCTGTTTATTATATATACATAGAATTAATCGGGATATTAATGAAATTTTGCGTTTTATTTATGCTGTGCTCAATGACGTCATAATGTTACACATAAACATGGCAGATATATTGTTTAATTACAGGCGCCCTCACCATGATTACATTTAAATAATATTCATCTACAGTACTATTAATTAGGTGTGAATATTTGAAATATTTAACAAATTTAAATTCTTTTATTTATAGGGTTTTAAATAACTTCATGTATTTATTAGTTTATAATTGTGCATTTCCATGTTGATCAGTAACATGGAGTTGAAAGAGTTACTCTTAAAATATTGTTTAAGTAAATAAATATTAATTGAATATTGTCATTATTTTATGAATTCATCTTAGCACTTTATCAGACAGGCAGACACAGAGAAACCTCGATAAATCCAGCATAAAACCCCCCAGCCATGTAGCCGTCATGTTAGTTGATGAATGTAAATTACTAGCGTTTAATTCTAGGCACATGTGCAGTGAGTTTCAATCCGTGTATCCGTCATGGGTTTGATAAATGCGCCACTGTCGTCATTGTAGTCGTAATTCTGCCCATTGAATATAAAAGATTATGTAGTCTAGAAGTAACAAATTCTAACAAATGGACGATAAGTATTGTGAGAATCATGGACAATTATATTGATAGATAGTCTACAATAAGAAAAGATGAAGGATTTGGCTAGGAATATCTAAATAATTGCCAAGAATCAAATCAATTCACATTTTTAGTTCAGACTTCCGTCCATATCAAAAATTAAGAAAACAAAATTAACATCTCAAGAACATTATAAATTGTATCTACAAACAGATATTATTCTCCTGATGACGATTGAAGCAACTCAATCGAAAAGTCGAGACATTAACAACAAAAAACAACAGTTGTTTTCAAAACCATCTACGCGGTGTGCACCACAAGTATTTATCATTGTTACTTCACCGTGCAAAACAACACATTTGATCATTTATTACTGATAATTACAAACATATAACGCACACATATATCCCATAAGTATGCATATATATAGGCCTATATATATATATATAATTATATATATATATATATATATGATATATATAACAAAAGAAT